GATTTAACAATTTTTAATTAATTTTGATTTCAAAATATGAGGAATAATGTATGGCTTTTCTCAAATTTGTTTGAATATGGTTAGATAATATTTATTTTATTTTATTTTTTTAATCTTTTTTATCGGTACCAGGGATCGAACTCACGACTGCCTGCTTGCAAAGCAGGCGCTTATGCCGCTGAGCTAAATCCCCAGCCCCCTAGATAGTATTTTTAAGACCTATCAAAAATTATCAGAAGACAATTGTGTTAAATGCATAACTTATTTTGCTGAAATCATCACTTAGTACATGACACATTTTTGCATGAGCATTTGATGAAGATTTTAAGAGTATGCAGTAAGATCATTAGACAAATCATTCAGTTGCCTATTTAAAAATATACAAAGAAGGTGTCCTATAGCACTCATTTTTTTTTCACTGTTCTGATTACTGAATGGGAATAAAAGAACCCATGGTCACTCTGGAAGGAAGTGATCTAATGAAATGTACTTTCTGGTGTAATGAGGAACACAGAGAATCCAGAAGATTCCACCATGAGGAAAGGGCTGAGTCTGGGAACCATATTGCTTCCAAAAGATTTATGTTTCCTTTTCCTCAACAAGAGGGAAATCATAGTACCATTCCCATCAAGTATTTAAAAGAGAATTTATTATAATTCATAAACCAAAAATTGAATAGTGAAATAATTTGTTGTAGTTAATTATGGATTGGAGTCAGTGTGACTTTGTATTCTACAAGTCAGTAGATTTTGTGCTTTCCAATGGAAAGTGTGTAGAGAAACAGACTGAGAATGGGAAGATGTACAAAGACACATTTTTGTAAACAAAGGTAGTTAGTTGTTAGAACAAAAACAAAACACATGAATTGAAATCATGTTTTAAAAATGCTGATAAGGATAAGGATGTTAAGTAGAAAATTATGTTAATGTAACTGACTTACATTGACACTTAGATATTACTGATAAAAGTAAAAGAATTCCCCTTCCTGCAACTTTATCAAAATTTCTACTTCACCTCTATAAAACATGAAAGGGTCTTATTGACAATTTGTTTTTTAATTTTTCTCCATTGATTCTTCTGATAATGACTAATTTTAATTCCCAAGAGATTGAACTATTTTACATTTTAAAAAATCCTACAAACACATCTAATTCCCTTTCTCTGTGTAGATTAACTCCTAAGTGAAAGCTAAGTGATCCTGAAAACTAGGACACAAAATAGACTCTCAGAACTTTATTTATGAAATTTTCCATTTAGAAACCTAGAAAGTTATTTCAGTTAACTAATTCAAAGGGAAGAAATTTCACCGAGACCTGCAGGAAAAGAGCAAGATATGATTTTTGAATTATCACACTTTTAAAATCTTGGTGGTTGTGTGGTTGAGAGAGACAGTTACAGATTATGATTTTTAACCAACTTATTGATCTTGCTGGTAACAAGTTGATTTGTATATGAAATACTAACTGTAAAATCATAGCCATAAAATCAAGAAGATAAGCTGCGACAGCCCGAGTACATGGCAGACAGATAACAGCAGCTACGGAGGCTCTCTGAAAGACTCGGCTCAGAATTCAGGAATGGTGCGGAGTAAGGAGACATAAGCAGGTGGAGATATGCTCTGCTGACCCAGGAACGAACTGGGCTGAGAGAAACCAACTTGGAATGCAGTCCTGGTGCTAGAACAGGAACAGAGGGGCCTCAGTGTGGAGGCTGGAGCCCACGCCATTGGAAGCCACGATTTGGGTTTCCTGCCACGCGGCGGCTGCGTCTACATGCGTTCGGCAGGGAGAGAGATGCACGGAAGCTCTGAGAATGGGAATCGGTGAATGGAGTCGAAAACAGGATGGGCGGGGAGCTGTGCACTGACTTGTGGTGAGGTGAGTGAGAGAAACTGACACTCTACTACAGTTTGACTCCAGCAGAGGACATTCTGGGACTGGGCAGACTTGCGGGAGCGGGGCGCTGCAGCGACTCCAGCCACATATCCCCCTCTCAAGCGGGATTGGTGAGAAGTGTCTAGCCTATGTGACGCTGCTGGTGGAGACCCAGTGGGCTAGCTCAACCCAGATCCCAGAGCCTGAGAGTGGCCTGGAAGGGCAGGCCCTGCATAGGCTGCCTGGTCCATAACTCCCTGGTGCACTGCAGTGGGTGGGAACACCTAGCCGGTGCAATTTGATCAGGCTGTGGCTGACAGGGAGGGAAGCTGGGCCTCCTATATAAGCTTGCATATATAAGGAACAAAGAATATGGGAATAGGCAGCAACAAGAAAGGCTCCTCGGCCCCTAATCCTGAGAAACAGGTAATAGCAGACACCACACCAATAGACATAAAGCGCCATCTAGAGAGCCTCATAGATGAGTTCAGGAATGAAGTTATTAATGATCTGAAGCTAGAAGTAAGCAGAATAGTTAGAGAAATGCTAAGCACCACCCAAGAGAGAACAGATGGTGGAATGGAAGAACAGAAAAAGAGGTGAGAATTGTTTGATGGAGAAAATAGAGAAAGCATAGAATACGTGAAGCAGGTTCAAAGAGACTACCAGGAAACTAAAAACTCTATTGAAAACTGGCATAACAGCTTGAAAGAAACTAAGGACAAACTATCTGAACTGGAGGGCAGATTTGTAATATGGGAGAATGAAATGAAAAACTTCTTAAAGGTAACAAAGAAACAAACAGCAATAATACAAAGACAAGAAGGTGATAAGAGGATCAATAACTTAAGAATTAAGAACATAAAAGAAGTAGGGACACAAACAAATGAACTACAAAAGCCACTCACAGAAATAATCCAGGAGAATTTTCCTAATTTAGCAAAAGGTAAAGATACTCAGATGTATGAGGCATACAGGACCCCAGCCACCTACAACCCAAACAGAGCAACACCCAGGCATATAATAATAAAAATTCCAGAAATTCAATACAAGAACAGAATATTAAAAGCTGTCAGAGACAAGAAACAGACCACTTACAAGGGAGCACCCATCAGAATTACAGCAGATTTCTCTGCACAAACCATCAAATCACGAAGAACGTGGGGGGAAATAATTCAAGCTTTGAAAGATAATAATCTCCAGCCAAGATTGATATATTCTGTACAACTGTCCCTGGAAATTGATGGAAAAACAAGATGCTTCCAGGATAAAGAGGAACTGGGGGAATTTGCAACCACCAATTCAACTCTACAGAGAGTATTTCAGGATATTCTAAAAAAAGAAAAATACAAAGAATCCAGAAATAGTGGCAGGGAGGCCACAATGAATGGAGCAGAGAACAAAATGAAGAAGACAAACTGACAACTAATGACAGAAAAAGAGCTCAACAGAAATGAGGCAGAGAAGATTGGATGATAGGAACAGCTATTTTGGAGAAAATGACGTCTTAATAGGTAATACTGATTTAGTATCATCTTGTTTTGAAGTCTCATCAAGCTTTTGTTCTTCTGTCTCCATTGGTCTAAACAGGTTGTATCTTATTGGATTTTATTATGTATGATAGTATAAGCAAAAACTTTTAAAGACAAGGAGATTATACAGAAACCATTGTTCATTTTCTATTAGTTGATTCTAAATACCCTGTAATGCTGTCATTCTCTCAAAAGGTTTTACATTGTTTTGATATATTAATGCTACAGTATACGAAGTTGTACTCAAGGATTTCAAGGAAAGAGACAATATGGTAACTACTTTTATGTCAGGATTATCTGGTGGTGAAACACTGTTCTGCTTAAATGGTTATGTTTTGATCTGTGCTGTTTTGCTGTTATGCCCTCTTTTATCTCAATCTCCACTCCATTATTTACTTTTTTATTTTTAGCCTTTTAATTAAGGGAAAAATAAATAAAAATAGCAGGATATATTATAGTAACTCACTTTGACTTTCCATTATCTTGATTTAAAGCCCTGTATTACTCTCACCATCTTGTTTTTGACTGATGTCCCCCTATTCTGTTTTCCTTGATAGTATCAGGTTCAAAAGTTTAGGCAACAGCTGTGAAGATAGTGAGATTCATTATGACGCCCATTCTCGCTGACTTTTATCTACTTTTGAAGACCTACAATGTCTCCAATGTTTTGGTTTTGTCGGTTTTGTTCTTTACTGTTTTGTTCAATTTTATTATAACTGATGATATAGGTAATCCTATTAGAGATAGCGGGAGACATTATGGTAACCATTATTGATCACCTTGTATTATGCTTTTACATTATCTATTATGTCCACCCTTTTGATTTGATTGACTCTGTTCTGTTATGTCACATTTGGTTCTACTCCCTTCCAAAAAAGTAATAAGAACTGTGGGAGTAACGAAACCCAAAATGTGTAATTGTCATTGTACAAAAGAGAGGAAAAGAAAGTGCTCTAAATGATATAACTGCATGTATATTTAAGTGTATAAGATAGAAAATGATATCACTGAGTTTTGTTGGATCATTGAACAGAACTGTTTGCAGTATCACTGTTGGAATGTCCACTTTACAAGCTTTAATTTTGTGACTTGAACAATTATTTCTGAGATGACAATATGTAATACATTAACTAGTGACTTCCTACTGTTTATTTTTTTCTGTAAATCTGTATAACTTGTACCCTTTTTCTGCTTTTTTTTCTCCTTAAATAAAATTTTTTAAAAAAGAGGATAAGCTGCAGTATAAATTATTTGTATTCATCCAGAACAACACAACTATACCGAGTTTCACTTTATTTCTGGTTTGACAGGCTGAGACATCAATAAGCATTTATTGATTGCTTGTGCTTTAGATTTCTCTACATGAGCAAAAAGCAATGGGACAGCATCACTTTCACTCACACTATCTGTAGACAAGCAGAGGTTAGCTTTCATACTTGAAACAATACCCAACAAAACTTAGCAATATGGTACAAAAACAGATATTTAAGTGGGATGCTGACAATTTTGGAAGTGGTTAAATGAAGAGACAGTTTCAGAAATGAAAACCTTTAGAGCCACATATGGACATGCATGCAGTAAAAAGAGTATTTACCTTTGTTCTGTTCTCTGATGGTACAATGAGACAAGGAGCTTCTTCATGGCCCCTTTCATATCCTTATTTCTCAAAGTGTAGATAAAAGGATTAAGCATGGGAGTCACCAAACTGTAGAACAAGGACATGAATTTGTCCTTGTCCTGGGAGTTAATGTTAGAGGGCTGTGTATACATGATAATTACTGGCCCATAAAAGAGAAACACAACAATGACATGGGCACCACATGTGTTAAAGGCCTTCTTCTTTCCCTCTGAGGACTGAATCCTAAGCACAGAAGCTACAATAAACCCATAGGAAACAAGAATAAGTGACAAAGGAACCAGGGAATAGAATGTCCCCACGATGGAAAGCATAATCAAATTGAATGTAGTGTCTACACAGGACATCTTGATCATTACAGGAACCTCACAGAGGAAGTTGTCCACCTTGTTGTTACCACAAAGTGGCAGCTGGATGGTGAGCGATGACTGCAGCAAAGAGTTGGCCAAACCACTGAGCCATGCCATGGCCACTAGGAGGACACAGAGGTGCTGATGCATGATAGCAGGATACCTCAGTGGCTTGCAGATCGCAATGTAACGATCCAGAGACATCACAGCTAGAAGGATGCACTCTGTGGCCCCCAGGAAGTGAAATATGTAGAACTGGGTCACACAGCCACCATAGGTGATGGACTTGTCTGGTCCCCAAAGGTTCAGCAGAAGCTGAGGGATGGTGGTTGTGGTGAAACACAGATCCAAGAAGGAGAGGTTGGAAAGAAAGAAGTACATAGGGCTGTCAAGGTGAGGATTCAGCCTGCACACCACAATAATTGTGAAGTTGCCCACTAGTGTGCAAATGTAAGCAATGAGAGCCACTGTGAAGAGGGGTCTTTCTAGCCAAGGGTGGCTGGAAAAACCCAGCAGAATGAAGACTTTTGGAGCACTGGTATTGTCTAGAGTCATGATTAATATTAGTTCTTTAGAAAAAGTTCAAGTTATACTGAAGAAGCATACATTAATATTGCAAATTTCTAAGTCAACCTATCAAGTTACATAAAATAAAGTGAGTTATGAAGGTATTTTCACTGTAGTGTGTAATTCTACAGAAATGATTTGATATTTGCAGGTATAAAATACAAACATTACTTTTGTAGTATCTTTCAAAGAAAAACTAATGTAAAAATTTTATCCCAAAATGCAAATATAGCAACTTTTTACAGAATAATGAGTAGATAAATGGAAACTCATAAGTTGATTTTACATTAAAGAATAAAATAGATGAGTCAATTATTCTAAAGAGTGCCCAAGAAGTACCCATGCTGACTCACCACAGTCTGTGTCATCCATCCTCTGGCTCCCATCACATTTGGGGTGGGGGGTAATGAGTTGATTTAAATGAATTCAGAACTCCATGAGCTCCCCATTGATTATTCTGATTTGCAACAAAAAAACCACACATTGGTACTTCTTCAATCCAGTCCATGAATCCTAGAGTGACTTTTGCCAGTTTAAAGTTTTGTTCTAAAAGAAAACATAAAGGTTTCAAAAATGATCATTGAAATACATAGTAGAGGTTTAAAAAAATAAGACAGGGATTGATTGTAAAGCTTAGGAAGAAAGGGCCATGAAAGGCATTCGTCCTTATCAGAACAGTATAAAATGTATATTTGTACTTTCCATTTTGTAAGTTGTGCTGTGCATTTAGTAGTTCTACTATTTTATCAATTTCTTTCATCTATTTCCATTACTAGTGTGAGTATATGTGTACTTGTGTGATCTAGGTAATGGTAAAGTTTTTAAAACACCTCTGAAAAAACACAGGCTCAATATCAGAAAGCCAGAACCAGCCTAATGTGAACTGTTAAAGTATTTGTGGTGTAGGTGCATCCTCAGTATGCAGAAGATCCCTTGTTGAACTTGCTGTGACAAAGTATGACTACGTTCTCACAAGTGCAACACTTTATGCTGGGCTGCATATGTTCATGAAATACAGAGCCGGGTTTGAGTTTAGTTCTGTTACATACTTTTTCCTCCAGTTATCTGTCTCAGAAGGACTAGACAGTCTTTCTTCCATGTCCTTAAATTACTCAAATGCTGGCTTGAATATAATAATGCCTTTACGATTTTTATGGCAGTTCACATTTATTTCGTATAACTGTCCACTAGTGAAAACAATACTCTTAGATTATTTTCAACACATTTCAATGTTGTAAATTGTTATTAAAAGGCCTTAATTTATTAATACCACATATTTCCTAATATATAACTTTGCATTAAGATATCATAACATTCAGGAACTTCTGCAAAGATTAAATCAATTGGATTAGATCAATTAAATCATTGGACCCAGATAAAACACTTACCTGAACCAATCTTGAGCTAGGTAGGGCACATTTCTTTAAGCTCAGCACTCTGAGAGGCTGAGGAAAGAGAATTACAAATTTGAGCCCATCTTGGGAAATTTAGTGCCTTAGAAACCATATCTCAAAATTTAAAAACAAAAAGTACAGCAAGAAGCAAACAAACAGAAAGTTATGCCAGGATACAATTCAGTGAAAAGTCCCTGGGTTCAATTCCCTATACACACACAAAAAAAATCAGTGTTGGTATTTTTAGTATGATTGTTTTTTCTTGTAAAAAGGAATTTTGATTTTTTCCTCTTCAGCAGAATTCAATGTTACTTGGGGATAAGGATTGAAACCCTCTTTGCATTCATGGATTTTGATCTTATATCATATATAGGTACTTAATAGTGGTTGGTTTATTTGATTCAAAGGATCCTAAAATATTAACATCTGCACACCTGTTTTACTCTAAAATAATACTTAAGGAAGCTTCATACTTTCTTATAAAACTGGAGAAGTTTTTCTTAAAAAGATCATAATTCTCAGTGGACATTTATTGGCAAGAGACACTATAGAAGTTTCCTGTGGGTATATGTCTCTCTAACAATCTTTCTCTAATAAAATGAAATAAACATTAGGACCTGTTGTGGAAAATGCATTCAGGATTAAAATCTCCTGGAAAATTTATTCTTCCTTAACATTTGTCTTGGATAACTGTAGAAAAACTAAGACAATTATTTTTGTGTCAAGATCCAATTGTCTTATGTTTTGTTTTTATTAATATTGTTATGTACTGCTATATTCAATTATACTATGCCTGATGACATAGACAATTCTACTGAAGATAACAAGAGAAAACACAGTAACCATTGTAGAACACCTTGTACTGTGGTTTTAGATGACATTTTTGTTCCATGTGTTTATAGGAATATGTTTTGTTTTTGTCTTGCTTTGTTTTATTTCTCCCTCTAATATAAAAAGGATAGAAATACATGTAGAGACTCATGCATATGTAGAATCTCTAAACAGTTTATGAGAACTGATCTTATAATGCATGATGAAATGAACAACTACTTTGAAGAAAAAGAGACACTACCGTACCCAGTGCTGATCCCATAGTGTCATGATGTGAAGACCAGCAATACTATTATTCTCTGTTCAGAATGATTTTAGCCTGCTTTGGTTTGTTTAATCTTAACATACATGAAGATATGGATAACTGCATGTGTGTTTAAGTGTGTAGGATTGATAACCATATTACTAAGTTTTTGTTGGATAGTTGAGCAGAACTGTTTGCAGTCTCGCTGTTTGAATGTCCACTTTGTATGCTTCATTTTGTAACTTGAACAACTATTTGTAAGAGGACAATATGTAATTATCAACTAATGATTTCTTACTGCTTATTTTTTCTTTGAAATTATGTATTATTTCTACCATTTTCTGTTTTGTTTATTCTTTCTTTAAATAAAAAAATGGAAAAAAATCCAATTGTCTTTTTTAATGTTTTATTCAGCATATTTTTCTTGATATTTCTGCTATATTAAAGGTATAAAAATTCTAGTTGTACACAAATGGATGAGCTTTCACCTTTCAATATAATTTTTAAAGAAATCAAAAACTATTTTCTTTTTCTATTTTTCTGTAAGTTGGACTTCTTGTCCTGATGTTGAGTTTAACTCAATATTTCTTTTTTCATCCTTCTATTCCTCCAATTTTGGAGACCTAACCTAGACCTAACCCAGCCAAGGCAAATGCTGAAACACCACCACTACACCCAGACCTACATTTAGTTTACAAAGGGTCAAAATTAGTTCAATCATACTGAATAATCTTTGTCTTTAACATAAATACTTAAAGCTATAAATTTTCCTCTAAGCATCAATATAGATACATTTTGACAGTTTATATTTTCATTTTTGTGTTTTTATAAGATTCAATATTTTCTATTTCCCCATTTACCGAAGGAAGCACAGTGGAGACTGTGGAGGAAAGATAAGATGGAAGAAATTCAAGAAACAGACATGGGAAGAGCTCTGCTCCCAGCTGAGAGTGGGGGACTGCAGACAGGTGTACAAATGTTTGATTATTATAACCATGTGCCCTCCCTCTTCTGCATCTCATCATATAATCCACACAAGTTAAAGCAATGTGGGACTCTGAAGGGTGGTTACTGTTCCCTGATTCTCAGAGAAGCTCAAAAATCTAACAAGAATCCCTTCTCAACACGCGCTGGCTATGTCACTCCAAGGTATTAGCCACCTCTGCAGTGGATTCCTTGGGTAAGCTCACTGGCTATGCAGACTGAACTCCGCATGGACTTACAGCTTGCCACACCCCTTTGCTCTTCTCTGTCCTGCTGCCCACTGTTGGCCAGTGACACTGTTGGCCTTCTGTGGGCTTGTCTTGTTCTTCAGTGATGTGGTTTCCTTTGTCACAGGGACCCAGAGCTAGCCTCATACAAAGCTTTGTTTTATTCACTGTGTTGGGTTTCTTTTACTCCATGTTTATATACTATTCTGTTCCTCTTACTTGATTTCTGGCTCATCACTTAGTATTTGCTGCAAAATTCAAATGCCTTCTGTGCCCTGTTCAGTTTGTCACCCTAATCCTGAAGACTATTCACCTAAATCTTATTTTATTGCTATTGTAAGTTTTTGGACATGTTTTGTTGCTGTGGCAGCAGCTAATCTTTAAAGGAATTGAACACATCTTCCAGTGACTAAATCCTTGTTTCAAACTAGACATCAACTTAACTCATTGTGCAAGCATTCATGGTTCATAGTTCACCCTTTATTTAAAAAGCACAAAAGGAAATAAGTGTTGTCAAAGATGTGGAGAAAAAATATCTTTATGTCAGTGGAATTACTATACCCATTATAAGATGGCTATGTTAATTAATTTTCTTTCTTGCCATATGGGGACTTGAACCCAGGGCCTTCTCACAGAGACACAGCCCCAGTCCACTTTTTAAATCTTGCAAGAATATCTCTGGGAAACTTTGTGATTTAGCCCTACCAAGTCAGGATTACAGGAGTGTGCCACAGCCTCTGGCTTGCTAATTGATTTATACAAATAAATTTATGATATATGCATATATGAAAAATCATATTGTACATCATAAATATGCTCCATTTTTGTCAACTGTACCTTAATAAGTTGGAGGAAAAAATTCATGCTGTGATGAGAATGGATTTATCCAAAATCATAGGATTTCCAAAATGTAACCAGACATGGTGGTGCCCATCTGTAATACTAGTACTTGGGAGGCCGAGGCAAGATGATTGTTGCGAGCTTGAGACCAGCCTGGGTAACACAGTGAGCTCAAGGCCAGCTTAAACTGCAAAATGAGACTTTGTCTCAACAAACAAACAAACACCCAAAATAATAATAATAATATTTCAACAATGTAAGGTGATTCAAACAAGTGAGCTATGTTTTATTTATTTATTTTTATTTTAAAGAATTTTATTTAAAGAGAAAAAAGCAAAACAGAAAAAAGGGTGGAAGTAATACATAATTAAAAAAACAAATAGTAAGAAATCACTAGTTGATAGATTACATATTGTCATCTTAGAAATTGCTGTTCAAGTTACAAAATTAAAGCATACAAAGTAGACA